AATCATATAGATTCAAGACTTTAGGGTGCAAAGAGATTAAAAAAAAGAAAACCAAATCCTGACATCACCTTGTGTAGTGGTAGAATGAAAAAAAAAAAAAAAGTGGATTTTTATTAACATGTTATATTGTACTTATGAATTTGTATTTGCAAGATCTAGTGATGAAGAAGAGGAGTCAGACAAGCTTTATCATGTGCTTGGTAGGCAGCAAACCTGCTCAGCTCTGGAGATGGATACCTGGAGAGGCACTTCCCTCTGATATATCGGCCGGAATTATTATATTGTACTTTTGTCTTTCTCAATTGTGACAGAACATGCAGGAAGAGGTAAGTTGCAGAAGTGCAAAGAGAAGTATGAACTGTCTAGATAATGCTAGAACAGAAGACAAGAAAAATAAATCTTGTTTGTGACTCTTATTTGCATATTCAGATATACCATTGATAGCTGTAGATAGCTGTATTTTTTCCTTTCCTGAAAATGAGAAATAAGGCTTTTGGATGGCAAAGTCTAGACTAATTGTGTGAGTTTACAGGTTCTTTAAAAATGAAGTTACCAACAGCAAGACATGAAAGAGAGGTGCATCATTACTACTAGGAAAATAAATCAGTTTCATTATTTCTTTTGAAAGAATAAATTATAAGAAAATATTCAATATGAATGGTTGAGTTAATGGCTTCCCATGCCTCATTTATGAAACACTCTTGTATAAAACTCCTGGAATTACTGAAGTGCACAGTGCTGCAGAGACACATTGTTTTCTTTTAATGAGCATTCTCAGCCCTAGTTGATGAGGTTTTGTTCTCTAAGAAACACAGAATTAGTGTATAGCAATGTTTAAATTATTGGACTTCGAAGTATGTTTCATTGGTGCAATCACTTACGATTAGATTGCAGATAGAACTATTGCTGAATTGCATCCACCTTAAAAGTTTGTTTCTTATGGAATACAAAGTGGAAAGTACTCTCTGTGAAAGCTGGAGAAGCCACATTCTCGTATCACTGCACAGTTTTAATCCCTTTGGTTCATTACAATACCATCCATCCTGTTCCTGTCAGTTGACTTAAGGCAATTGATAAGGCAATCATCAAACATTAATGTTAATCCAAAGAAATTCTGTACTAATGTGACATTAATTAATGCTCATTTACATAATATTACCCTTACATGCATCATGTCTATAGTGGTGGAACAGTGTCCGCTGTTATGAATGTATTAGAGCTTTAATGTAACAGGGCTGGGTGTAATGAGCTCTTTGTTGCAGGTTCATTTGCTGTTACACAGCAGACACCTCTTCGTACTTAACCATCAAAAGAGACAGTTTTAAGAATGAGTTATTTACATATAAAATTGATGTTGATCAAGTAGATTATAAGCTCCATGCCATGTGGGATTTTCACAGCTGTACACACTGCACTTCAGCTTATATAAAAATTCTTGGCAAGGTTCTAGTGGTAAAATGTTAATTTTTGGGTGTTCATTAAAGTAACATTAATCATGAACTCTGATTATGTTCACCTTAATTTATTCTGAAACTTTATAATTAAAATTAATCAGATTCCATAATGAAGTAGAGCAGGATAATGAAATTTGGCCTTGTTACTTTATAATAGAGCTATTATTTCACTGAGATGTTAGAATTTTTTCTGAGGAATTTAACGAACATCTGCTTTTAAATATGGATCATACAGTCAAAGTTGTATCTAATAGAGTTTTGTGTGTCTCTTTCTATGTTGAGAAGTGTTTGCAGTGCTTTGGGAGAAGTGGGCCTATTGTTTGGTTACTATTGCGCTGGACTTGAGAAAGTTGGCAAAAAAATAAATTCACCTTTCTGGTGAGCTGAATCTTGATTTTAAGTCCCCCCAGCCCCTCCCCTCCCCCCGGGGGAAATCTGATAATTAATGCCACAGGGTTTCAGGTAATGTCTGCACTTCAGGTGACTGAATGGATGCTGTTCGTGCTCCCTGGCAGTTGTCAAGCTGGCATTATCAGTTCTGTGATAGTCATATTTCTGTGCTGAAAACGGAAATCCTTCATTTCTACTGGAACAAAGAGAAGAGGCAGCTCTTCTTGTCAAAGCAGATTTACTTTCTGCAGCAGTTGTGAATGTTACCAGTTTATAAGACTCAAAGAAGCTGTGTACATGTTCAGAGAGGGACTGGTAAGATGCCACGCTTGGCTCAGTAAGTCCCTGACCTGCAAGTCCTTGAGATCTGTGGGGGCTTTCTGGAGAAATACTGCTTTGTGCCTGCCCCAGCCTTTGGTTCTTTGGGTTTCATCTCTCAGCTGCTGTTTGAGACAGATTATCAAGCCAGGTGGACCTGTGATCTGAACCATTATTATATTCAGCCTTTACTGGTAAGATTTACCTTCAGGAAGCCCAGGCCCCTGTGACCCAGGCAAAACTCCAGAGCAAAAAGGCCTCTCCCTCAGGAGAGCAGGACTGGGCTAGAGAACAGGAGCTAAGCTGTTCTTTTTCACCTGTTCAACTGCCCCTTTTTGCTAGACCAGCTGGGAGCTGAATACAGCTGCTTGTATCTGCCATGTTACGTGATCACGTAATTAGTTTGCATTAACATCTTTGAGTATCTTCACTGCTAATACAGCAATTTCCAGAATTTGTTACAGTTCCATTGGCACTGGATTTGTGGCTTTGGTTTTCAGGTCATGGTGTTGCCCTTGCAGTTTTATTTTATTTTTTTTTTTACCATTCGTGTTTTGCTTTTTGCGCAGTTTCTCTTTTCATGTCAAATCTGAGGCTTGGAAATAAAAGCAGGAGATGATAAATGTCTTGAGAGAGAGGGAGAGAAAATGAGAGTCTATCAGTAAAGCAAGTTAGTACACAACTTCTGAGGCTGCCATTTTCCATTTGTTGTGTATTGCTAAAAGAAATCTGATATTTGCGCTGATATTTAGGACGTATCTCTGAAAATTGTGTATATTTCTGAGGTTTTTTGTTTTTTTTTTTTTTGGTTTGTTAGTGGTAGCTCTCAGAACCCTTGAGAATAGTTTGTACTACAAATTTTCTTGTTAATTAAAGCAGTCATTTGCTTTCTTCTCTAGATGTTATTTTGGTGTTTATTTTTTTTTTTTTAACTGTCTTGAGATGTGCAGGAATTTTTCAAACTAATCATTTATCTTCCTATATACCTTCTTCTCTAGACAGGACCTCCATTCAGATACTCGGGCTTGGTTTCCTAGTGGGTGTTTCAGCCCTGTGCATTGCTGTACCTCCTGATGCACTGATGGATGGTGGGAATTGTTGCTTGTAGCTAGATTTATTTTTCAAATTGTCTTGGTTTCTTTATTGCTAGAGGTTATACTCTCTATCAGTTTGTACTTTGCAAGCGTAATGAATTCACCCAGCTTTTTCTTGGTGAAAAGATCTGCCAGGGTCTGGCAGTGTCACTTAACTGTGAGACAGAGATTGATGCTGTTGGCTACTTCTATTTCTGGTTTATGGATCTTTATTGCAAAGGGAAATGATACATGAAAGTGACCCCCTGGTAATAAATATTTGCACCCATACACTCAGCCTACTTTCTTCTTGCTAACTTAGCTTAGATGGCTGGGGCTTTGTGAGGTGCTAGGTTTTTGGTTTGTCCACGTTAACCACAGCAATTGGTATTTTTGTGCACTCAGCACTGGCAAGAATATGTTGGAAAGCAGGTGTACACACACTAACACGGGAATTTAGGAATGGGTTCTTGTTTGGATTAGATTAACCTGGATTTTTTTTCATGATGAAGATTTTTTAGAGAAGGTACCTACCTGCCATCTGGCTTTCTTGAGGACATCCACCTTGTTGAGAATAGCAGGTTTCAGGTTAATGTAGTCCATTGAAAAAATGCTATCTACTTGATATATCCAGAAATGTATGTTTTAACAGCCTAGGTTTGGGGTGAGCTGCTGCCTTGGGCCCTGGGATGTTGTACCCATCTTCCAGAGAACTGGAGGGGCCTGTGGGGGTTACAGAGAGCCTGGTATTTCATATGCCTGGGAAGCTGATTGTGAGAGTGTAACAGATCATTGTGGTTGGAGAGTCATTGCTGCTTTTGTGACTCTGCTTCTACCATTTGCCTAGTGATATGTTGGTCTGGGGCTGCAAGTCTTGGGATTCATCAAGAAAAGGAGAACTGTTTGTGTGTATGTGAATATCTACCCAGTCGTGCTTCTTTAACCAGATACACCAAAAAGGTTTTGTTCTTGGCATAAGAAGACGTTTTCTCATATTAGCCTAAATTCATTAGTGTCTAACATTGGAAATAGTCATGTTGTACAGTCCTCCAGAAATCAGGAGTCACTGAACACTTGGGCGTTTTGAGTAACTGCAACAGTGCCAGGACCTTGTTCCCACACTGTAAATACTTGAGGACAGTTGGCCAGGGTAAATAATAGGAATTACAGAGTAACTGAGATGATCTTTTGGGAGCATGGTGTTTGATCCTGACAGCTCAGGCCTGCTCCAGTGCCAGAATGCCTAAACATTAAACCTCAGAAGGAACTGTGGAAGGATGCAGTTGACTTCTTCCTGCAGTACAGAAGTCACTCGACTCTGGAGTGACACCTGCCGTTTTGGTTTCAGTTATCATTACCAAAATGGATTTTCAAACTGTGGGCAGTAAAATTCCAGCACTGGAGAAGGTGACCACAAATTCAAGAACCCATGTAGTAAAGAAATAAGAAATTGAAGTGTGGAACTTTTTAAGGTGAGTCTTTAAAAGACAAGTGATGTTTTGAATAGCAAATGATTTATGCAAAATATGTTACAAAATCTAAGATGCCAAATAAATAACCAATATAATGTATTCTGTTTTGACACTTTGTTTCCACTTGAGAGGTAGTGAATGCAGGTTGGTTTTGTTAACAATTTTTTGAAGGTATTTTCACTCTATTCACTTTGTTCTGTACAACCAATTTTACTGTGATTTTAAATTTCAGTCTTCTGCCTTGAAGCTACATGAAAATATGTTGGGATAAACATCCAGAAAAATAGATTTGTGGTTATATAATTTCTCTTTATTATAAAAAAGTTGCTTCACCATATGAAACGTTTTTCTCCTATATTTTGGAAGGCTCACGTTCCCTTTTGAATTTCACCAAGTTGGCATGATATAATGTGTACCTAATTTCTGTGATCTTTGATGATTACGACATGAGGGTATTGGTATAAAAGTTACTCTCATACAGTATTGAGAAGCCTTGAGGATTTAAAACCAAAGAATGGGATATAAGAATGCTTTGACCCAGATATTGATAGACAAAAAGGTAATGTAGTAATTGGTAAAGACGTAATAATGAATTAATTTTTTTTTATTATTTAAAGGTTTTGGTGGTTTTTTTTCCTTAGCTTGCTGTATCACAATGCTAAGGGCCTATTAACCTGTACCATTTGTTCCAAATTACTATATTTTTCAGCAAATAGATGTTTCTTACTTTTGATTAATATTTTACATTTTCTGAGTAGTGTAAGGGCTTGTTTCTGTTGCCACTTCTGTCAGCAGCTGTCTGTGGCATAAGTAGATTTTGGACCCATTTGTCTTTAAGAAGAAGTGCAAGTGCCTGATCTGGCAGACTCTACTTTCACAGTAGGTTTTGTAGCTGCTTATTGAAGTCTCCTGTCCATATTGTCTTGCAGAACACTGAGACTTTACAAGACATCACCAGCCCTAGCTAAGAGTTGCATACATAAACTTTGTTGTTAAAATGTGTCGATACATTTTTGTGACTTAGAAATCAGGCTGTATTTCAAGGCAACAGGTAAGTTTGAGGAGAATTTAAATTTTTTTTTTAAATTATCATTTCTAGGAAAACTTGGCTATATATTTCAAGAATTTCTTAGAAGTGAATAGTTAAACCCTCCCTCTGGAACCAGTAGATAAAATTCTACACATTAAACACGGTAAAAATGGTGCATATTCTGCAAAGGACAGAATTTTAGGTTAAAGTTTTCTGGGCACAAAAGCAGTAACAAAATGATCCCTACAAAACAGAGTAACTGAATAACACAAGAAATAACTTGTTAATTTGAAACTTTAGAAACTGAAACTTGTAAAATAAGATGTAATTAAATTATGACACTGTACATACCAGCTGTTCTTGGTAATTGAAACTTTACAATATGAAAAATACATTACATCTGTACAGTTTATACAGGTAGGTAGGATGAGTTTTGAAAAAGATTCACTTCAAGGGTCAGACTCTGAAGTCAAAAAATACTGCACAACTTAACTAATTACAAATTGTAGACTTGAAACAATTAATCTTTGTGATTGGTTTTTAATTTGAACAGGAATCTTAGAATCCATAGTATTATGTCTTCTCACTTCTGTCCATACTGTTACATAGAATTTGGTTGCAGCCTCTGCTACAGGAAAAAAACCCCGACAACAAAAAAACCTCCCGGCCCCCATTCAAGCCAACTGCTGACTGTGGTCCTTGATCCGGGCTGCTGTGGTGATTGTGCTCAGGTCCAGATCAGTCTCTAGGTGTGTTTCCACTGTTTCTTCCTGGTTATTTGAGTCATAGGGCTTGTGAGCAAGCAGTTCATGATGCACTCCACAGTAACTGAGCGTGGGCTGATCATAGGCAAGAAATGTTGACACATTCATAGACAATGGTATCTAGGGGAAAAACAGAGATGAAAAACAGCCAGTTACCAGAAGACAGAAGCAAATTGTACAAGCCTGAATTTGATGTTGAGAAACCAGACTGTCTGCACGTGAAAAAAAAAAAATTGTCTTCCTTTTCTCTATCCTTCTACCCCCTCCTCTCCACCCAAACCCTGGTCTTCACTATTAAATCTGACCTCTGCCACCTTTGGTCTTGTGGCCCAGGGCTTGTATGTACTTGAATGTGTTTGTGAGGGTTAAGATGTGATTGAACTTGAATTATCTTTAGAGTGTGATTAACCTCAGCTAAAATCAACCTATCAGGAAATATTTCAAATGAAATGGGAATGCTTGTTCAAGTTCAAGAGTGGCTGGTGAATCTTGCTGGAGTATGTCAGTGGGTGTGATACCATCTGCTTGGAAATACAGATGAGATGGTTCCTATTATTTAGAGCATAAGCATCAATTTAAATTTAACAGCTTTCAATAAATATGGTCCAATATCCTGTTAGACTGTTATCTTGTGGTATTTCTGGAAGCTTCCCTGTTGCAGGTTTGATTCAAATGCTTTAGCTGAAAAGCGTAGGAATTTTTCTTTACTATTTTCTTGGGGGCTTTGAATGCACTTCAGCATAGAATGACATACAATACACTGTAGAATCAGAGATGAAATTCATACAGATTTTGAAGTGTATATATTTGTACTTTTACAGCTCCAAATGTATTTTCTAACCTAATTTCATAGACATGGCATGGTACTGGATGGGGTCACCATGGACATGGATTACTTCTAGAGCTGCAATGCAGTGAACATGTACTCTGTCCTGCAGACAGTGTGTGTGTGTGTTATGACCTTATTAATTGGTCATATTCCCCATGGCCTTTTTTCATATATTTTTCATGTAATGTGTGTAAGTTGCTGGCATTGGATCATGTTCTGTTTGAGTATCAGCATAGAAGGAAAGCAGAAGGGAGGAAAGGAGCACTTTAGCTGCTGCAGACCTGTAGTCAGAAACAAGCTAATTATGGGTGTGGGCTTGTTCTAATTTCTTTCTGACGCTGCCGTGACAACCTTGCAGTAAAGCAGCAGGACGGGAGGTTGGGCAGCAATTCAGGGAGGGCTAAGGGAGCTTCTTGTGGAATTGCTATGGAATGCAGACAGCTGCATACATGCATTCTGTCATGCATATACATAGAGAGAGAGGCTTGTGTGGGAAGGCACAGAAGAGGAGACCAAAGGCCCAGCTGAGATGAAACAGAACAACTTTCGAATTAATGGCATTTTCCTTAGGCTGGTCAAGTTTACGTTCTGAAAAAAAATAAAAAGCTTATGTGGTTCTCCTTTGCTATTTTTTGAAGTGATATGTGAAGTCATGTTGGCAATTCTGCCTTACTCTGGGCAAACAAGAGCCAGGAATGATTGCACTCTGCAGAAGAGCCTGGGCTGGTTCTCCTGTAACCAGGTCATTCCTGTAGAATGCAAAATCTGTGCCTTTTAGAAAATTAGTGATGTGCAGACCTGTTATAAAACCTTACAGATAGTTTCTTCTGACCTGCTCCTTTTTTTCTTGCTGAATCTTATTTTCCTCCTTAAATGTGTCCCCTTCTGTCTCTGTTTCCTGGAATGGTCAGGATCTGATCACCTGCCATGTTTCTTTTTAGTGTGTTTGGGGAAGGAGACTTCAACCCTCATGGCGTGGCAACTAAACAGGGAACATCCCTATTTGTATCTCCTCCTTTGCAGCTTTCCTTCCTCTTTTCCATCTGGTAGTGCTATGTCTCAGTAAAAAGTTCTAGTTCTAGAAAACCTCCTGTTCTTTCAGCTTATTCAAATAAGTACCATTACAGCATTTATGATGATAGCTCTCCTCTTTGACAACAGTTCTGGAGTAAAAATCCCTGCATTGTGTAATTATTAGTGATGTGGGAATTTCATATTGTTTGGAGTTCAGATGAGCATCAAAAAGTCCCAGCTTATCTCAGATTTACAGTTCAGAAGCCTTAAAATTGCAGTTTCTATTCAAGGAAGCTGTGTTTCATTGCATAGTATTAAATTTCTGTACAGTGAGGGGGGAAGTTCCAGCAACCCTGTCTTTTCAGGGAGGAAGTTTAAAACTCCAGACTTACTTTACACGGAAAGCATAGCTAAAAGTTTGTATTTACAAAACTGTATAACAACCCCCAATTTTTTTTTTTTTTAAAAATAGTTCTATTCAGTCCTGAAAAGAATGTAGTCCAGTGTTTGGAATGTTGATTTCTTTGCATTTCTGTTTCAGTCATCACTGGCAGTTGAAAAGTTACCACGGATTAAAAAGAAAGCTTTTCTTAAAGGAAAAAAAAAAAAAAAAGAAGAGAGATAATTTGGTTCTGGTTTCTCTGTAGCAGTTACAGAGACCTCTGCAGGAAATAGGTTCTTTTATCCAGCCTGCAGAAGTGTATTTACTGCTAAACAGATGTGAACTGGTTGGGGAGGGGAATGCTTCGAGCTACAGATGAATATCTCAACAGTCAGCAAAGATGGGAAGGGTTCTTGAAAAGGCTTGGAGCATTTATTAAGCTTCTGGTGTTGTGGCTGTGTTCTTATCTGATTACTTGACCTTGGCTGGGCCTTTGTGAGAAACAGCATTCTTTTTTTTCTGAATGTATTGTATTTAGAACCAGAGACAATATTTTCAGCCTAAGGATTTTGGTATTTTGTTAAATTTCGTGGCTGTGAGGTGTTCAAACCTCCTGGGGGGATTTTGAGACTCGGCCACAGAATCCTGAAAATGAAAGCTCAGAAAATTAAGGCATAAGAGCACAGCCACGGGTTTGGAGTGGCTTGAGAATGTAGGCATGGGAAATTAGGATAGGGCAATGGAATATTACCCATGGGGATGACAGCAATAAGGGCTGAAAATAGATGCTCATAAGACGGAGGAATGAAAATAAGTAAACCAGGCTTCACACTGAATAGAAAAAAATGATCTGAAGTATAGAATCAATAGAAGTGATGGAGCTGTGATAGATCATTCTGAAAATGTACAGAATTCCAGTGTAATGGCAATACCCTGTACAGCATAGCATGGGAATATAATATATCAGCATATGGTCAACATATGAGAGTTAAATCTATTACATACAGAAGTTTTGTGGTTTTTTTCAATAAAAAAAAGGAACAAGCTCTTGTATTATATAACAGGGAACCATACAGGTATTATTGGCATGAAGCAAAATTAAATGCTTCATTTGTGACCATATGAAGAATCCTGTTATTTCAAATGAACCTCAAAACAAACCTGATACTTTACCATCCATTAGTTTGTGACTTTTTTTTCTTATGAAGTCTTAGGACAGGACTGTAGTAAGATTGTTCTGTACCTACATCTACATCTCCTGCCTCTGCACCCCTGCATTTAAATCATCTCTGTGATTTAGGCAGGTCTTGCATGTGATAAGTATCTTATTTTCCCTCTAGGAGGCCCTGGAGCTGTCTGATAGGTTTTTATGAAAAGAAAGCACCTATCTGAGTATCATCTTATCCTGTTTCTTTGTCTGCTTCTTCAAGCATGTATTTACTTAAAAGTGGTGTGCTGTGAAACAGGGGAGATAATTAAACTCAAACTTCTGTTAAAGGAATAGATAAACCTGCTATAGCCAATTTTTGACGGTCATGGATTTACAGTTGAGCTCCTTCTAGCTCTTCTACCAAAATGTAACTCAGCCATGGGGGTAAGAGTACCAGAAGTAGCTTTTTGTTGGTGGTGGTATTTGCACACACTATGAGGAGGCCACACCAGAAGGCAATGAGTGCCTTGGATTGAATTGTTGTCCCTTTCAAGTGCTGAAGTAGGGACAGAGATTGCTGCAGAGATTGCTACTCACTTTGAACATCTTAGTTTTCCTTCAAACTTCTAAATTCTGAGGTTGCTCTTCTTTTGTTTGCACATTGCAACCTTTCAAAGTCCAAATTCTAAGGGCCTGGCAAAGGGCAATACGTTGTTAGATCAGCTGGGGAGAACTTGGGTGTGAAATGTTACATGGAATAGGTATGAACTCACCAAGTTTTCCTTGTGAATGGCAGAGAAGAGTTAAATGCAAAGGGAAAGATGTTTTTAAGCTTTTTCCTGCTTCTCTCAAACTAATTTTCTACTCAGTTCAGGCTGTAATTAAAAACCTACCAAAAGTGTAAGCAGCAAGAATAGCTTTCATTGAACAGCAGAATTGTTCTTCACACAAACATTAAGTTAGTGCCCTCTTGGTGAGGGAGAATTGTGTTTTCTATCCAAAGGGCACACCTGTCCAGGTGTTGTACATAATTCCAACACTCAAGAACTCTTGCTTTTCTTCTGCTACCCAGTAGTGGTATGCTTCATGTGCTCTGCTTGGGTTTGGTCGTGTTTTTATTTCAGCTTGTTCATCTCTGGTTACCTTTGGGGTCCCACATTCTACATTCCCATATAGAAATAATGCAACCAGGTGTTACTGGGCATCTGTTTTGTGCCCAGCCTTCACTGCTGTGTTAGACTAAACACGTGTGATAGCTGCACATTCCTCGTGACAGAGAAAGACAAGAGTGAGGAAGCAAAGGGCAGGTGAGAGGCCTGAGCCACATCTGTGTTTTAAGCCTTTTAAACCATGGATTCTGCCAGTTGTCTCCATGGTGATATAAGAAACAAAAAAGAGCTCCTGTTTCTAGACTTGTTTTCGTGGCTGAATGCCCTAGGTTCACATTGATACTGAAAAAGGAAAAGCCTTAGTAAGTGCATGATTAGAATTACAGTCCATCAGTAGCAGTATTCTTATCTGTTCAATGTTGAGCATGAATTTTTAGTAATTTATGATGCAGGAGAGGAGGGTGGTGTTAAAAAGTAAAAATCACCTTGAAAAACAGAGGCCAGACCTTTGGAACCTTTGCTTTGAATGTTGGACACCTAAACAATAAGCTGGTATTTTCTGAGGGATGGGAGAGAGTACAGAGAGTATTAAACTGCTGCTGGGTTCCGTGAGGAAACCAGGCAAATTTTTTTTAG